TATAAAGTATAAAAAATAATTTTCACTTCACACTTGATTTGTTTTTGATTTTTATGTTTTATTATCTTGCTAACCTTGTGGTCCATTGGTGCTTTATAAAAATACTTATACGTATATGGCTCTGTATATGTATGTATATAATTATGGTCAATGGTTGTGCACTTGTATAGCGCATAACATTGGTCTCTAAGCGCTCTCCAAAACAAAAGAAAACAAAAATAACATGAATAATGGTTAAAAAAAAGAAAAATGGTTAAAAAAAAAAAAAAAAGCAAACAGGAAGTGATACAATAGAAAAATAACACAAAAGTAAAAAGAAATCAAAACAGGAGAGGGGAGGAAAATTATAGACTGTCAAATAAGAATGATTTAAGACGCACTTAAAGATAATTCTGTAAAAGTAAATATTTTGTTTTATTTATTTCACAGATAGGTTATAATTTAAGTAATATTACCTTTGGTTGGTCATCTCTTTTTGCCATTCCTATTCATGTCAGTTGCCATTGTTTTAAATTTTTTAAATTCTATACTGTATTTTTTTTTTTTGCACGCACCTTCACAATTTTGAAGTGTTCCACTGTTAAAAAAGTGTAGTTTCTTAATAAATTGCTAACTTACTAACTAGTGATGCCAATATTTCACACAAACTCTGTTTCTATGTTGTTGAGGTTATTTTCTATATTATCTAAATATAGAATTATTAATTGAACAAAACTAAACGGGCCTACAGGTCTTCTAAACTTCTTACTTACCCCTCTGACGATAACATAGTAGTGCGACACCGACGATTTTTCATTGTAGGTCAACTCAGGTTCTTAGCATTTAGCATTCGTGTGTATGGAGAAAATACATTATTTCCTTGGTTTGATTAAGGTTGACCAGTTCTTCTGAGGGCGCAAAAGCGAATCAACAAACTTTTACCGAACCCACAGAGACACTTATTACGTGCCCCAAAACAAATATGGCGCCCCAAAACAAATATGGCGCCCCTAAATGGTCCGACATAATTTCATTGAAGTATCTTTCGATTCCTTGAAATATTTCTTTTCTAAAAATACTAGTTCTTTGCAATGAAATAATATATCGGTTTCTCAAAATATATTTCGCTTTCTTGTAATAATATTTCATTCCCTCTAAACATTATTTTGTCGAAAATCAACCTCTTATTTCTTCGTAGGAAAAGATTTGCATATTATTATAGGAAGGGTTGGTGGGGTGTCTGGAAATCTTTGCCTGAATAAACCTAGTTTTGTAGGTGTCTGACCATCATTAAAAGTTTTATAAGCATTAATTTAATTACAGTAGACCTACTGATTATCGATTAACTTTCCCCCTGTTTTGCTATCTATTTATTTGAATAATATTTCAGCATTTCTCAATGTATTCGGAAATATCATGTTTTGTATCAGTGATTGCTGGATACGTTTATGACCCTGTGTTAACAAAGCAATTGTTGGTCAAATTGTTAAAGAATAAAGCTAAAAAAGTGAATGAAATGTGAGAAAGTCATCTGAAAGTAACCAGAGATGAACGTCTCACCTGTTTGAGCTACAAAACCCAAATCAAATCGTTACTATTATGTTTTTCTCGTACGTACGAAATAGGTAGTAGATCCCTGACACCAGGAAGGAACTGATACAATAAATTCAACAATCATTCATTTGTTTAAGTATAGCCACTTTTACACAAAGTTCGTCGCACCTTACCGATGAAACCAAGAGGGTCTGTGATACTACCCGATTGCCCGTTAACTTACTACCGTGTAGTTGATTTGTTTATTATTTAGGCCTATTTCGCATTTCAAGGACAGATTAACATTGATAAAAAATTATGAAAAGTACAGTACGTAGAAGTACAAAGTGATGAAGGATACTTGAATGCCTGGATGACGCGAGCCCAGTGATACTGGGTTAATGTTTAAAAAAAAAAAATCAGGAATATTTTATTACTAAAATTAACGTAATTAAAATTTTCTTTAAGGCTTTTTAAAAAAACGTTTAACTCTTTTTAAAAATCAAAATATATATAAATACAATAAAAACATAAAGGAATTCCTTAATTTTTAAGTTTTGAGCACTAGCTCGGTCGACAATTTGGTAGTAGGCCTATTAACAGAATTTAAGATAGTAGGCCTATTATACACACTCGAAGTATCGAAATGCACGCCATCGTGTCGGGATTCAATATTTCGACATTAATTATGTCATCATCATCCATTCCTGATGATGGCATAGTTAATGTCGAGATATTGAATCCCGACACAATGGCGTGCATTTCGATACTTCGAGTATGTAGGCCTATTATACTATCTTATCTGAGATTAATCAGTGGACCTTTCGGTTTTAACAGAATTTCGTTGCTGCATTCCTGTTTCACCTAGGATTGGGGGTGAGGGTTCAATGCAAGTAAAATGCATCGTCTATAATTTTACAGTTCTTTAAGTGACGGTAGAGTGAGTTCCAGAATGTCTTCATTCAGTGGTATGCTCTGGATACCTATTTCGATTTTTACATTAGAAGATTATAATAAATCAAATTTAACATTTATAAAATAGTACGGTAATATTTTTTTAACAATACCTTTTGGCTACAACCCCAGCTGGATCAGACAAATCAAGACACTTCCGGGACACAAGTAATCAAAAACAAATACCGGTACTAAATATAAGTTTGAACAATAGATTTTTATTCAGGATAACACATTTTATTATTATTATTATTATTATTATTATTATTATTATTATTATTATTATTATTATTATTATTACTATTACTATTACTATTACTATTACTATTATTATTATTATTATTATTATTAATTATTATTATTATTAACTTATTTCAGCATTTTCGTAGGTTTTACTTTAATAAGTAGGGTCTATTTGTTACATTATTAGTGCTATTAAGGTATTTCTTCAACTTCGAAGGCGACATAGAAGCTTACTTAATATTTTACGCTTGCAATCCTTTTCTTAGCATACCACAATACCTAAATTATTTTCTGGTATAGTGTTATATAACCTGTTTATAACATTGGAGCATGTATTTCTCGTAGATTTTTAACGTTTAGATCCTATGTTTTTTAGGGGGTAGGGTAACGCTCACTGTGATCTACTGTATTTCGCTCACTGTGATCTACTGTATTTGACTACCGTTATATAAACGTCGAAGTTCCATATAATAATAATACCAAGTTATTATTATTATTATTATTATTATTATTATTATTATTATTATTATTATTATTATTATCCTGTTGAATATTAGCCGTATTACTGTATCTATAATTTATCATTGCAATTCACTAGTGAATCTGAGATTTCATTATTCGCAGTAGATAAGATGTGTATAAGAGACAGGCTATATATATTTTAAAAGCATGTTGTCAGGATACACTTCAAACATTGAAGTGTACATTGACTTTTCTGCGTATCATTGTGTTTGCCAAACAATGAAGTACACTATACGCTGTTACAGTTAACTTATTTCCGTATGATTTCGATTGATGATTTTGCAAATGAAAAAGGAGAACAATTACAAAGAAAATTTCACAGTGAGGCTGCAAGACCAATGCCAGGTGTTATTATCACCACCAATTTCCAGTGATGCTGTCCTCGAAACCAGAATAATTTTTGTACAAATATAAAGAAAATTCATAGTAATAATCAATAAACTCGGCCAGAGTGATAAGAAAAGATATAAATATATTTCTGATTCGAAGTTTTGTTCCAGTTTCACTTTTTAAAAATTTTAAAAGTACAAAACAGAGATGAACACATGAAACAGAGTAGGAATTAAAGTTTTGTGTTATGGTCCACACTCTTTATAACATGCAAATGAATCTTTGTGTTCAGAGCAATAATATAAATATTAAAATTGTTGTAGATATCTAGTCGCCAATATTAGTCGTTGATTTATGATGTAAAAGGCACTGGCGATCAGTGTGCCTAGTATTGATGCCCACAAATATATTAAAATAAAAAAATAACAAGAAATTTATCCCATCTTGATAACGGTGAAAAAGACAATGATCTTAACTTCTCAAAACTATAACCTGGCCCCAAAGTTGTTCGAGAGCATGACTATTTGCTCTTCTATGCACCCCTTCAAGCTGATCAGAGTTTATTTATTTATTAATGCAATTATTTCTTACTTAAAATACAGATTAACATTGATAAAAATATATGTTCATAAATGTATCAAGAGAGGAGGGATAATTTGAATGCCTTGATGACGGCAGCCTAGGAACAGTTGGCTAATGTTAAAAAAAAAAAGGTCATTTATATTTTATTACCAAAATTAACCTAATTTAAATTTCCAAAACATGAACTCTTTAAAAAAATCAAAATATGAAAAATATACAATAAAAATCTCTAGAACGGAGGTTTTTTTTTTCTTTTTCTTTTTTAACACTAGCTCGGTCGGCAAATGCGGTGGTATCCGATAGGATAATGGTTATTCCCGACTTCGTTGCTGTTTTCTTGTTTCATGGTGATGGGGGGGGGGGGGGGGGGGAGAGGATCAAATGCAAGTAAAAAGGCATCGTCTTTAATTTTACAGTTCTTTAATTAAGTAAGGGCGACTGAGTTCAAAAATGTTTTCTTCATCCAGTAGTATGACCTAGGCATAGGCCTACCTTGCTCGTTTTTTTAAATTAGAATAATTGACTCAGAAATAATAAAATTAAACATTAATGAAATAGTACGGTAATATTTTATTTAACAGTAACTTTTCGCCATAATCCTTTACAAAAATACTAAATATGATTATTCAGGATAACACAGTGTATTATATACGGTACCAAATATTTGTTACCCTATCAGTGTTATTGAGGTGTTTATTAAGATTCGAATCGACATAAAAGCTTACATATTTCACGCTTGCAATCCTGTATACTTGACTTACCACTATAAGCCTATATGATCTTCTTAGTATAGTATTATATAACCTGCTGTTTATAACATTGGAGCATGTTTTTTTTTGTTTTTTGGGTTTTTTTTGTGTAGATTTTCAACTGTGTAGGCCCCTATATTTTTTAGGGAGTGGGGTTATCCTCAATATGATCTACTGTATTTAGTTACTGTTATATAAATGTCGAAGTTCGATATATGAGATTCATTACATTCAAACGTTTGTCTAGTGACACAAAGTTAAAATCATAAACGAAAGATTGTTGTTAAAAAGTATATTAAATCGCTTTAGTCTTTCTAACTTTACCTGTGCTTTGTCAACTTTATCGTATGCTATCTTTTCTAAGCATAGTGTTTAATACTGTATTGTTGAAATAATATAGACATGCTATCGACACTCATGGTGCCATCTACCAACTTTTTAAATATATGAATCCAATGAGTTACGTATGATATTGGACGTGATACGTGGACTTCAGCCCTGTCCAGACTAACAAAGTCTATTTTTAAAATAATATGTGACATGCCTAAATATGGTCTGATGACATCACATCATGACCATATAGGCACATCATGACTATAATATGGACATACTTCATTTTTTTTAAAATTGATAACCTGGACAGAGCTAAACAATTCTTAGAGAGGTTCGTGGTTGTAAGATCATCATTGATTAAATTCGATGGATTATCATGATCATTGTACAAGTAACAAGCATTCACTCAAACCAGCTACTGCTCTCTTTACTTTCTTATCTCTTTCCCGGCTTCACATTAACATAAACTGTTTCTTCGTCTCTATGTTGTAGATCTTGGGAAGTCTGGTTCTCATTGCCAGCAATTGACCTATCTGCCATGTAATCCATGTACGTCTGTGTCGAGATATGAAACATTATCAATGCAATTTAGGTCATTCGTTATTTGTTTGTAAAGATACTTGATAATAAAAAATGAATACAATGGGGAGGTTTAGAAACTCCTTTAGAATCGAAACATAATTATGTGCAATTTATTATCATCTGTTTTAAAAATCACAAAGCTTGAGATAATATTTTCATTAGTCTATTATCACTCTGTATAAAACAATACTTTTTACAAGTTATAATACATTTTAACAATCGGTATAATATAACTGCGATTAGGTCTATACCGTTTTAGTGGTAGAGCAAATTTTGTCCTACAAACAGGCGCGATAGCATGTTACTGATTGCGGGAAGGAGGACCTATAGTCTGGGGTAGGTCACAGAAACATGACTACATATCCACCTGAATCATTTGACAACATAATAGGTCTATTTACAGAAACCATGGCGTTGTGTATGTGGCACGAAGATGATAGGTGACAAAGATGAGGTGAATTGGAATATCAAAAGCTTACATCTTGCTTTTTCTTATCCGTACTTCTCTTGTCTATTTGTGCTTTCTGAATTGAAATAAAAATAATCATTAATGCGAATTGTATTATGTCACTTTGCAGTCATTAGGCTGAATTTACATTACAAATTTGTACAAGCTTGCTTATTTTAATATTGACCATTTGATTGAACATAAATGGGAAAGAGTGATGTATTAGGCCTATTGTGTTAAAATCATACTACTGAAATTTGTTTTGGTATCTGACAAACCTGTTTAATCCTAGTGTAGCCGATCAATCCACCAATTACTCCGAAGGCGCCAACAATGATGCCCACAAAGAACATACCAATTGTCAAACTTGTGCTACTAGAACAGGCTGCACCTGGAAGGGACGATATAACGCACGTCACTTCAATCATAATGTGCGATTTGGCGCGGCATTTGAGGTACGGTACTGTGCATTTCGCCTGTGTTCGTAGACCAGGTATTGTCTCTCTTCACCCAGGAGTGAAAGTGGGTGTATGGTAGGTTTAAACAGTAAACACGCTGATTCCGCTTATTTCATTCATTTGTCTCAAAATATCAACATTTACAAAAACAGAAAAACAGCAAAGAACAAGTACAAAAAAAAAAAAGCACAAGACCGGTACACCTCTTCACTGTGTCAAATGGGGGCCCTTTGACAATAACCAATGGCTTGCAATAGGCCTATAAAATTTTGCTTAAAGATAAAACATCTGAAGTTAAATATTTTTAAATCAGTAAGCCTTTACAACTGTAGAACGGGCAAAATTTAAAAAATATATTAAAAACCGTTATGGAATTCTCTCTAAGGAGCTGTGTACGTATTACATAATTTTGTGCTTAATTCAACGTCGGATTTATAAACTAAACCTCTATACAGGCCTAAGTCTAACATATATTATTTTATTGTAGAGTGCTATATGCAATTAATGACAACGATAATGACGATGATGGGTGATGACGACGATGATGATTATGATGATGTTCTGCAGTTGCAGTTTCATTGTTTGTTCATTCAGCTTATTTGTTTCTTCTGAAATTAACCTTGGAATAGCGATTCCTATATTTGTTATTCCACCTGCTCCTGAGGGATGGCGCCAGCGGAAGTAGGGGGAAAGGTCCTCCATATTGAAGAGCTTCCCTTACACCCCCTCCCCTAATGGTGGCAGAACATTTTTGAAAGTGGGGGGGGGGGGCATTTAATAAGGTCCACTGTGCGAGCGAAGTGAGCATCTACCTGTAGGCTGGGGGACTGGGGGAGGTCATGGGCCCCTGGTTGGGATCAGGGGAAAATCCCCCTGGAAGCTACGAATATTTGACAAAGCTTGGTGAATTTTTTTGGTTATTTTATAGGCATCAAACTACTGTAATATGACTTCATAATTGTTGTAATTTCCAGTGACGGATCTAGGAATTCAAAATAGAGGGGTTAACAAGGGGGAACTTTTACAGATGGGGTATGTCCACCTCAGCCCCACCATGGTTGGGGCTGAGGTCAGAACATTTTGTGATAATTTTCTTTATATATCCATTTCAAAGATAATAAAATTGAACATTAATTTAGGGGGGCCCGGGGCCCCAATTAAATCCGCCACTGGGTGCTTTCGCAGACGGAGAATCTATACCACCTCAGCTCCAACCATGGTAAGAAAATGTTTGATTAAGGCACCTCTAAATGGCCGGAAATTACACTCTCACAGACTTAAAATTTGAATATAATTTTCTTATAATCTCCATTAAGAAAAAAATTGAACAATTTAGGCCCCCGCCCTTGAATCCGCCACTGATTTCTGAACAAAGCCGAAGTCCAGATTGCTTCCACGATATCAATGATATTATTTATCATGAGGTGTATGCTTGATATGGGTATTCCCCACGAAACCATCACTTTTCTCTCGATGGATGAAAATTACCCTTCTACAGTATCCCAGAAATGATACGCCAACTGTCGCGGGTTCAGGAAGTCAAAATAGAGGGGACCCAGGGAGGGTCTTGCGCAAAGGGAGTGACCACCCACCTCAGCCCCACAACGGTAGTGGCAGCGGTAAGAAAAAAAACATGTGATTATGGCACATTTAGATGGCCGGAAATGGCACTTGCAGATTAAAAGTTGATTAAAATTTTGTCTGTTTTCTCAATATTTTTTTTTTTTTTTATAATTTTGAAAAAATAGTAGGTTGGGGATCCGTGTTGACTGGGCTTCTCCTTGAATCCACCACTGTTCAATACTTCAACACTTGACAGAGCCTATAATTTTGTTTCACAAATGACTAATTCCTAATGTTAAGTGAAAGCTTTTTTATTTGAAAGTTTTTGTTTTATTCAATACAAATTTTACAATTTTACACATTAACTACAGTGTACCATAAATTCTGTAGTTATTTTTTAAGATATGAGACACTTGCGCTATCTATTTTACTGAAAATAATTAGGGACTTGAAATACCATTTCCCAAAATCCGGTGTCAGTTGAACTACTATTATGGCCATGTAACCTACCAAATTAAACTTGTACTTGTGATTTTTCATAGATATTATTATTAGTTTTTTTTTGTGGAGGAGAGGGCCAATCAGTTACACTTACATCTGCATGGTTCACTTACATCTTCAAGGTTAGCATTAAGAGAACAAGAGCGTCGCTCCATAAATAATTCCTACCTCTTGCCTGGTCGCGCAAGGCGGGCGATTCCATTCATTTTTCTTCATGCTCGAAAACTTTACAGACGCGCGCAAGCACATACAGACGTCAATCAACATCTGGTTGCTCAACTTAAGGAGGTAATGTCCGTTTGGAAATTTAAAAAAAAAAATTTATTGTATAATAACAATAGATTGTAAGGCGCAAATAATAATAATAATAATAATAATAATAATAATAATAATAATAATAATAATAATAATAATAATAATAATGACATTGCAGCGTTTGTAAGTTACTGGTGCTGGGAACAGTCACAAAAGTGGGAGGGGGCAGGCCCTTAGTTGAAAAAGTGGGTGTGGGAAACCAAAACTTGTTCCTTTTATGTCTTACCCATTCTCTGTGTTGTTTTTATAATGTTTTCTTGTCAATGTTAACATGTGGTTGGGGGGTTTGAGACCGATGCTCATTATAATGTTTGTGTCCTTGGGCAAGACACTTTATCTGATCTGCCTCTCAGCTTGTAAGACGTGGATGATTCGGAATAAACAGTAGTAGTCATTAACACGCATAACTAGTAATACTCCCAGGGGTGGCGCTAGCGGGGGGGGGGTCCCCCTGGACTCCCCTGAGGCTGTCGGGGAATTTTCAGCAAGGTCGTAATTCAAGCACGCCGTACTACGCTGTCAACAAGGCAGGTAAATGTGGGAAACTTAACTCGCATGGTTAAATTATCCTTTTTAAATAAATAATCCTATAATTAACATTTTAAAATAAAACAAACAATTTAATTTTTCTCAGAATGGGGAGGGGTGTGGATCCCTTCTAGTCGGGAGCTTGGACCCCTCGTCGGGGAATTCCTGGCGCGCATGCCCCTGAATACTCAACAGGGAGCGGAAAAGGTTGCACGTTGTGTATGATCGAGTCTGCATCCAAAGACAAGGAAAACAGCGCCTTTGGCAGTTGGATGTGCGGCATGAACTTAAGATTCATGTTATGGAATTAGTAACATGTGAATTTAGTTTTACACGTTATGAGATGTTCCTAGGTAAATCAAAATGTGTTTTACAAAACTCTATTACGATTCGGCCTACAGTAGCTTTTATTCGATACGATGAAGAGCAGTAGCTAAATTTTGTGTCATTTACGGTACTCACCGGAATACACATTTTCACAATATCTCCCACTGTAGCCTGGTTTACATTCACATGTAAACTCAGAATAAGGAGGTATACAATTCCCTTCATTTTCACATGGACTGGAAATGCAATAGTCAACACCTAAAAAATAAACGTATAGTGTATTAAATATCTCATTTGATTATTACAGTATAAGATTAAGTTTTCTATGGATTATTGATTATTCACGTGTTTTTAGCAGTAGCAAGTATTCCCGTATTGTATTTGTTGTTCAGTATTCTTATGTATTTTTATGCCTTCTCTTTTTATACCATTTTAGCTATTTTTTTAATGTCCCTCATTTGTTATTAAAAGAATTATAGAATTAACATTCCACTTTTAAAATACCCTTAAATTTACAGGCCTACTTTTATAAATTTTACCAGTGGTATGACTGAGCTGTTTATTTTTCTTAAAACAATTTTACTAATCTTCTTTTTTCCTACTGACTTGTATTATTTTACTACAGTATTTGATGTAACTTACCAAAAGTCAATGTAATCTGTGTTATAGGATTAAAAAAAAACCAGGACTATGTGTAAAACAGGTTGTTACACCCTTTTTACTCCATAAAATATGTTCAATAAAAAAATAAATAATGGTCAAAAAAAAATGAAAAGAAATAGTCGTGACAACGATCGCACAGAGATGCCCTCCAGCCAGGCCCATATTTCTACTCAGCCAAATTCAAATAGGAAGCTGTATGTTTACATTATTATACTACACGCAGATTAAATTAAAAAAATAAATAGATAAATAAGAATTTAAAATAAAAATTAAATAAAAGCTAGGTCAAAACATGTAGGCGAAACAGTTGAGCGCAACACCGAGACAAGGTTACCTAATACAAGGCTTTGAACTGCGAGTAAATGTAACAAAATGTCTTATATTGCTTATAGGCCAGGGGCCTAGTTAAGCCAGGGGCCAGGCCTATAAGGTAGGCCTAAGTGCACAGAATAGGTAGGCCAGGGCTGGTGCAGTTGGACAATTTTAAAACACAGAATCGTTTCTACTGTTCTTTCTAGTTTATTTAATAAACAAGCTCTACAAATGGTGGATCCTGTTTGCTGGAGGGGAGAGGGTGGAATGGGGTTAAAGTAGAGCAGTTAATGCCACAATGATGATTTATATATATAATTTAACAGTGTTAACGACTATCTTGATTTATATTATACGCAACTATTTGTTTCTAGTCGTACTTATTGTGTAATGGAGTGTATCTGGTGGTATTTGAATCTGTTCAACCATGAACCTCCGTGGTCTAATGGTTATGACGCTCGCCTTCACAGCGAGAGGTCGCAGGTTCAAATCCCGCCAGAGGCATTTTATTACACAATTTCTTTATTTTACAGGACTACATTCGTTGAGCGCTCTGCTACACGATGTATTATTATGTCCTTTATTCGAACACTGATATTTACCTTCCTTTGATGATTTATATATATAATTTAACAGTGTTAACGGCTATCTTGATTTATATTATATGCACCTATTTGTTTCTAGCCGTATATGGTGTAATGGAGTGTATCTGGTGGTATTTGAATCTGTTCAACCATGAAGCCTCCGTGGTCTCATGGTTATGACACTCG